TGAATTTGTCCCAAAATAAGAAAATTCTACCACGAGTGCAGATGCATTTCACGTTCAGATGAAGTACGTAGCCACGCCTAGCGCACCTCACTGCTTCAGAGTGTGCAGAACAGCCCTTGAAACCATCTTGTTTGTATTCTGTGTTTTTTCTCCTTTCATTTTCCTTGTTTCTTTCATCATTTGTTCCATATTAATTACATGTTTGTGCGACAGTGTCTCTAATATTTGTCTTTCACTAACTTTCAATCCATACATTATTAAATAAAAATCTGGAGTCAAGTCTTTCCGAAAGCAGTTACAGCGTGTGTCACCGCATGTCTTTTCGGCGCAGCCCCTCCCAGGCGGCGGGCGGGGCTTAGATCATGGTTAGGTCATAAGTGATCCACGCCTTCCTACTCATTTCCTACTCATTCCCAGCCCCACAAAAACACTTCAGATAATACTAGTTTTCCGGACAACAAAATGGTAGTCCAACAGACACGGTAGCGGTCAAAATACAGTGGATATCAATGAAGTCAATCGAAGCGTGTCAGCGATGAGTGGGTTTTGGCACGGCGTCATGTTTTCCATTGATCGTTGCGACTTCGTGCGTTCAATAAATTTGGGAAGGAGCTACCACGGCACCAAAACCCACGCAACGACTGCCTCAACTGACAAAGACTGCAATTCCTATCGACGTGACGGACCACTTTGCAGGGGCCTATAAACTCTAGAAGCTACGGAATGACAGGGTTTATTTCCACGCAAACTCTTCTATTTTTCATATAGGACGACATTAGTGGCAAGGTATGAAGCGATCGTGGTTCAGACAAGGGAACTACTGCTTGGTTAAGGAGCATATTGAAAGGGCGGACCGAATGTCACAAAAGAACGGCTTGGAAATGAAAAGAGTAGCACAACGTAACCCTTCAACCTTCTGTACGGCATAGAGAACGTCCCCTCGAGCCGAACTGAAGGTTCGATTTATAAAGCATGGGTTTTCCATTTATACCACGGCGTGTGATCAATATTTGTTACCTCGTACATACAATATATCACTCGTGACAACAATCTATCAAAATCAGAGTGTGAATTAATTATGTATTTTAATAAAATTATGGTCTGGTGATCCACATAGATCTCTGCGGAGGGCAGTGCTCAATTTATTACATGAGGTAGAAGAAATGCAGGCGACTGAGAACTTTATTGATGGAAGTGTTACCATGCTTGGCTATTTGCCGAATCCACATCCTCCAAGGCAAACCGCCCATGCCTGAAAAGAGCTCGCATGATTAATTATACGTTGTATAATCAGTTACTAATAGAGCTGTTCGACAATGTATAGGTTTGTTGGCGCAGAGACTAAGAGAAGAACTTAGATTGTCACGATACGTTTCACGCCAGCGAAAGTCAATCGTGCTCGCGTCGCGGTCATGCGCGGCGTGCGGTTCATGATTCCTTTCAATGATATGATATTCGTGACACATTAAGTTCTCTTATTACGAGAAAGAATTAATTGTGTCAATAATCATCTCGACAGGATCACATTCAATCGATCAACGCACGCCGCGCAATGACCGCGACGCGAGACGACTGACTTCGCTGGCGTGAAATGTACGTTTGATAATTAAGGTCTTGCGCAGAGATTTTAAGTGATGCAAGTCCTCTTCCAGATAACTGGTGAGTTGTTTTATTCCAGGCAGGGCGTACCATGCGTTCTTGATAATCTTCATAGATACGACTCTTACAAATGTTCTTCTTCGTACGACCCACCTCCACAGCCTACTTGATATCTCACCATCGTAGTAACTTCTCACAATATGTTGTCGACAAGCCAGAAGCCAATGGCAATGAAAAAAAAATTAACAATTCCAAAGAACTTCTTCTGAGACCAAGTGCGACCCTCCATCATCAGCTGAATACAATCGCTCCAATCGCAAGTCCCCCAAAGGCTGGTAGGCCCTGATTCCGTGCAGAAGGGTTCAAATCGTTATTCCCACACTCCTCATTGTACATATAACACACATATATAATACAGTTTCCATTGTCATTGAAATGACATATAACAGGTGGACAATCCGCGTTCCATAGGGGACTTGAGAGAAAGCCACGACCGCTCCTGTTTAAAGGGAACGGGAGGTAAGATCAAATATCGTCGAGTTCCCTCAGCGGCATATTTCCAGGCGATATTAAAAGACATTGGCACCTTTTGCCATTTGCCAGTTCTGGGATTGTGCGAATCATTGGGCCTTTGGTAAACGGAGTAGCAGGAAAGAAGAAAAGCAATCCAGTTCGTGCACTCAATAGGAATCCTGTTCAGTGAGCATGGGACTGAGTGAGAGGAGACTGAGAAGACTTGAAAAGAGAAGCAAATCATAGCATGGAGAAAATAGATCATACAAATAATTGGCACCCCAAAGCCATACATATATGTAGCGATAGTAAAATGGTACGACTAAGGTGGACTCAGCTTACGGATGCGGAGCTAGCTGCTCATCGTCGCAGAGCCGAGGCGCATTTATCAAACAGTTCGAAGTCGCGAAAGTGCATTGTTTGATGCGATGCGGACCATGCCCCTTGAGAAGCGAAAGGATTCCACGCGAGTCACGAGCATTTCACGCAAGCTGTCTTTCAAGTCTCATTTCATTACATTCTAAGCTTTGGGATCCAAATATGAATACATCGATTCCAAGTGACTTCCCAGTGAAGGAGCGAGCGGATAAAACGCTAAAGACAGTTTAAAAAGAGGGCAACCTCTGAGATTGTGTACCGGGATATTTGTTCATGAGAAAGCATCATGAAAACGAGCTATAAATTATAAGAAATTTAGAAACGAATTAAAAAGTGGAATTTTGAATGAACAGCCATAGAAGGCTATAATAAGACAAGGTAGAGACCGAACGCGAGGCCAGTCCCTTTTAGTGGATCACTATATAATATCCTGGTTGTGTTACATAACCAGATAGGTGTGCAGTACGAATGTTATCATTTCAGACCCAGAAAGATATTAAGCAACGAAATATCAGAGTGCAAATAAATCTGAACAATTCAATCTGAACAATTCCAGGGAGTTTTGTGTCCTTCAATTTATTGAAATAAGCTTCTAGGGTTTCTCTCTATTGCTTAACTTTCAGTATTTGTCACGATCAATTTTTTGAGACAATCCTCATTAAAATAAAGCTCACCGTATCCACCGAAGCCGCCATATCCTATGCCTCCCAGGCCATAGCCCATACCATATCCGCCATATCCGCCGTATCCGCCGTATCCGCCCATGCCGTAGCCACCCATGCCGCCGTATCCTCCAAACATTCCGAGTCCACCAAAACCGCATCCCATTCCTTAATAAGCTCTTTTATTCTTCTGCGAGAACCACTTTTCCTCAGTCCATTGAAGGCACAGGCGAGTCAAAACTGATTGGTAATTGCGGCTTACAACAAACATTTTTCAAGGTGTCTCCTTCAAATTTTGCCCGAATCGCGATGTGTTTGGCCCAGGAAAGTCTCAGCCACGAGGAGTATCTGCTACTACGTAAAAATAGTAAGGCAGAAATTCGCCACCTTTCCTCTATCTTTTATTCCCTCCAGGTACAAAAAGGAGTGATAGCGAACTTACAAGCGCACAACTGGTCAGGTTCTTAGTATTAGGTTGTTCGAAAAGTCCTGCGACACTTTGATTAAATTGTTCTAGAAAAAGACCAAAAATCATTTTGGATGTTTTTATCCCTGATTAGTGGA